AAGACTAAGCATATAGAAGTGGACCGTCACTTCATTCGAGAGAAGATCATCTCTAGTCAAATTTGCACTCCATTTTTCACAAGCTCTCAGCAGCTTGCAAACATTCTTACAAAGGGCGTTAGCAAGATTGTGTTTGAAAATGCATTATCCAAGTTGGGGCGTTTCAAATATCCACGCACCAACTTGAGAGGGAGTGTTAGCATATATGATAGTCACGATTTATGGAATGACTTACCATATTAGCAAAAATTTAATTATGCATATGTTATATAATATGCATAATTAAATTTTATAATATGCATATGTTATGACTTACCATATTAATAGAGATTTGATTATGTTATATAATATGCCATAGAATCTGCTATAGAATATGCCATAGAATATGCCATAGAATATGCCATAGAATATGCTGTGATTTGATTTAGATTTGATATAGTTTCCTTTCTTGTAATATGAGAATGTGCTCTTTATATCTATAAATACTAGAGCCGAGAATGAGTGATTTATCTCATTCAAGCCTTTACACAACTCTCTCATTTCTCTTCTTTTTATATTTCTGCTGTTCATAACGCCATAGGTGATACTAATGGCATTGGTACTTCCAATCAGTTTGAGGCCCTGGGCGATTTGAATAATGAAGGTGAAGAGAAGAGTGAAGACATTTCTCACCATTCTCAGGCCCTTGTGGTAGTTAATAATACAAATGGTGATTGGGTAGATGGGCATGTTGATGTTGATGAGGCTGATGATTATGTTGCTGGTCTAGATGATGATACTACTAGTCAAGTAGTGAATATCAAAGGGGATGTTGCTAAGGCCCCCTACTGAAGATAATGATGCTGCTATTGGAAATGTGAATGGGGGTGAGTCCCTTATGGCTGGTTCACAGGAGGATGGTGGTTCTGATATGGACACAGAAGGAATGGTGTCGGCTCAATTTGTGGATCGGTTGGTGGAGAAGAAAAGCAGAAATTAAAAACAGCCTCCTCCTTTAACAGATGGGGTCACTAGATCTACAGGAGCTATTCCACCTACTTCTTCCTTGTCTTAATGCTAGCTGTAAGGAATGTCAGAGGCCTCAATAGGCCTTCTATGCAGAAAGAGGTGAAACACTGGCTTTCCGAGAATAGATTTTCCCTTATTATTCTGGTTGAAACAAGAAAAAAGGAAGTGAGGGTTCCTAAAATTCAGAAAAAGGTCTGTCCTAGGTGGCAATGGTTGACAAAATATAGAAGTCATCAACTAGGAAAGATATGGGTTGCTTGGAATAGCTTGATTCTGGATGTATCACTGATACATGAATGCAGTCAAGCTATGTTACTGAAGGTTCGGTTCATTGAAGCAGGTTTGACAGTTTTTGTTTCTGCAGTTTATGCTGCAAATACTGTGAGGGAAAGACGAGGGCTTTGGAACTTTCTGAAGGTTCACTCTGGTTTGGTCAATGGTCCTTGGGTGGCAGTGGGAGATTGGAACTTGGTAAGGTACCATAGTGAGAAGCAAGGAGGTTTGGCAGTACCACAAGGTGTCCTTGATGAATTTAATGGCACCCTGAGAAACCTAAATTTAAGTGATCTTCCAATGCACAATGGAGAATGGTCTTGGACTAATAAGCAATGTGCAAAGAGAAGAATTATTGCTAGATTGGACAGGGCAGTGGCAAAGAAACAGTGATTTGATGGTTTTTCAGATAATAAGCTGTATCTAACTGCTTCTTCTTTATCTGACCACTTTGGTTTAGCTGTGAAATGGAATGCCTCCTGTGCTACTGGACCAAAACCTTTTAAATTCTTAAAAAAAATTGGTGCTTCCAGGAGGAGGTGGATGAAATCGTTTCTAATGCTTGGAAAGATCCAAGTGCATGTCAGCACAATCCATCAGCTGATGCAGAAACTTAGACGGGTTAAGGCTGAAGTTAAGAAATGGAATAAGAATAAAGGTTTAATTTCAGAGCAGCTGCATAATGCCAAAGAGGAGATGTTGCATGCTCAGGTGGAACTGTTAAAAGCTCCTTTTGACCAAGAGATTATAAGTAAAGAGAAGGAGAGTGTGTGTTGAGTCCAACATTTAACTGATTTAGAGGAGATTTTATGGGCTCAAAATCAAGGATAAGATGGTTCTCTGAGGGAGACAGATGCACTTCATATTTTCACACTTCATATATTCACAATACAGTGAAGCAGAGAATATCTTATAGTGCCATAACCCAGTTTGAAAAATAAGGATGGCTCTGTATCTGATGATCCAGCTGTTATGAAAGCTTGGATGGTGGAGCATTTTCAGAAAATTTATGCTTCTGTGGAATCTGTTGCAACTGTTGGGCAGCCCAGAAAGGTCCTCTCTGTTTTAGAGGCTAATAGTTTGGAGATTAATATTACAGTAGAGAAGATTGAACAGGTAGTCAGAAGATTTCATCCAGACAGGGCTCCTGGACCAGACGGTTTCCCGGCCAGATTCTTCCAAAAATATCGGAGTGTGGTGGGGGCAGGATGTTATTAATGCTGTGCTCCACTTCTTCAATTCTGTCAATTTGCCTAAGGGAGTAAATTCCACCTTCCTCACTTTGATCTCTAAGGATCATCATGGTGATGAGATTAATAAGAACATACCTATATCTTTGTGCAATTTTCTTTACAAAGTAATTGCTAAAATTATGGCTAATAGGTTGAGTGTGGTGCTTCCCTCTTTGGTGGGATTAGAACAGTCTGCATTTGTGAAAAAAAAGAAAGATTCATGATAACATCTTACTGGTATTAGATTTAATTAGGGGTTCTGGTTGGAAGAGAAGGGATCCATCCATGGCTCTTAAAGTGAGCTTGCAGAAGGCTTATGATTCTGCTGATTGGGGCAACATCAAAAAATTATTGATTGCTTATGGTTTTGGCTCAACATGGATTCACTGAATTATGAAGTGCATCTCCAATCCTTCTTTTTCCTTGACTGTTTAATGGTGTTCCTATAAGGTTATTTCTCTTCACAAAGGGGCTTAAGATAGGGTTGTCTTGTGCCTCCATTACTGTTCTCCTTGATTACTGAGCACTTTTCTGGGTTGGTAATGGAAAAGATTGAGTCGGATCAGCTTCAATGTCTCAGTTCGGTGCCTAGGGCAGGCTTGAAGATATCTCATGTCTTTTATGCACATGATTTGATGATTGTGGTCAAGGCCAGTATTTCTTCTGCTAAAGCTCTTGAGGAGGTATTTAAATTTTTCTCAGCAATGTCCGGCCTGCATGTGAATAAAGACAAGAGTTCCATAATTTTTCCCGAGGCTGTGAGGAGGAGGAAGAGAATCATGGAGATGTTACAATTTGTTAATACTGAATTCCCCAGTTCAGTATTTAGGTGTGCCCCTTTCTGATAAGAAGTTACAGACAGCAGATTTCAAGAAGTTGTTTGATAAGGTGAATGTTAAATTGATGCACTGGAATTCAATGAATCTTTCTAGTGCAGGTAGGCTGGAACTCCTTAAAACAGTGTTATATTCCTCTTTGTACTATCGGATTTTTGGTTTTAAAATCCCTTGGGAAGCTCAATTGTGGTTGGAAAGAAAATTCAAGCATTTTCTGTGGAGTGGCCCAGTGGGAAAACTGAGATAAGGAAGATGGCTTAACTAAGATGGAAAAATGTGATATTACCTTTTGTAGAGGGTGGCTTCAACATCAGGAAAATTGCTGACCTGGATACTGCAGCTAAATTATCTTTATGCTGGGATTTATTGCAGCAGAAGGATAAAGTTTGGGTGTCCTGGTTTAGAATGAGATATTTGCACAATTGCTCTTTTTGGAATGTGATTCCTAAAGTAACCGACTCCGCAGTTTGGAAACAGATCGTGGAGGTTAGGGATCTGATGATGCATCACTGCATCTATAAGACTGTGGGGATAAATTTTCCCTTCTTCTAGATCCTTGGTGTGATGGTATGTTTCTTGTGCAGAGATTTGGTGATCATCAAGCTAGCCTTAGCTCTATTATTGTGAATGGACAGTGGTGTTTTGATGATCGTTTTCCAAGTGGCCAGGCGGCTGTTGCTACAATTTCTATTAGGGATGAACCTGATGTCATCAGTTGGAATCATGGTCTTTTCAGTTTGAAATCATCTTGGAATGTTTGTCGTGTGCATAGTCAGATCCTGAGATGGACAAAGCTGTGTAAGAATTTCTGTGGACCTAGAGTGTCTGTGGCGGTGACTTTGATTTTACAAAATAGAAATCTGTCATATGTGCATCTGCAAAGAAGGGGTTTAGTGCTCACTTCAATCTTTCACAATTGTTTTGGGGCTGTGGATGACAACAATCATCTATTTTGTACCTGTTCATTGACTGTTGCTGTGTGGAAAGAGGTGCTGAGTAGAGTTACCATTGTGGCTGGGGATTTTGAGAGTATAGATGCTTTGACCAACTGGTTTCTCCTGCAGACTAGGATTGATTCTATGAGATCAAAGGCGTTGTGCTCTGTATTCGCTAATCCTGTTTGGACAATTTGGTCTCGCAGAAATGCAGCCCTTCATCAAGGTTGTCAAGCAAGTTCTGAGGCTACTGCTACCATTATATGGGAGGTGCTTTTCGCAATGAAGTGCTCTCTAGAGGACTTATTACTTATTTTTCATTAGTACATGGTAATCTGTTCTAGTTGGTGGTGGTTTGGCCTATACTGGAAACGGGCTTTCTCTTTGGGTTTGCTTTGTAATTAAGGGGTATGCCCCTTATATTTTGTGTAAACTTTCCTTTCTTCTTTTATAAAATCATCCCATTCAGAAATATAAATATATATATATATATATATATATATATATATATATATATATATATAAGGCTTTGCAACAAGCCATACTGTGGAACCTTGGGAGAAATTTAAGGATGTGATTCTTCTTTCTTTACAGTACAAAAGGAGCATGAATCAAACAAACCTATTAATGTAACAAACCAATAAAAAAAACATATCAAGAAAAATGATGATTGTCTACTAAACATTAATGAGAAAACAATATGGAAAATAGAATACCTCAAATGATAAAAGATTGAAGGCAAGCAAGCAACGGCGAACAAATATTCCTAGGTTGCTAGTGGGATCCAAAATGATCTGGTCGTCATCTACAAAACTTGAATCAGGGCCCCCAAGGATGCCTAATCAAAATTGCATCAAAACAAATTCTAGTTGGATTCAATGGAAAAAAAAGTAAGATGACTAATAATGATAAAATAAATTATGAGAAAGAAAAATAACAAGAAATATAGAAGGAGAAAATATCACCAATTGAAGATAATATAATTAACTCACCTCGCAAATCACTGAAAAAGTTAAACAGGTCATCAGGAGATGATAATGATGATAGCCTACTAGATAAATGTTCGCTTAACCAACGATTTAATAAGCCGCAAATTTCCCTCAATTGAATAATAAGTACATCCAGTTTAGGCTCCAAAATATCATCACAGCACTAACAAACAGCAATGCCAAAACTTGACTTTAGTATTATTGCATAGAATAAAAATAAACAATCAATTCAATTCAACATAAACCAAGTAATTAATAGAAATAATTTATTTTATCATTAGTTGCAACATTGTTTGAAAATAAAAAATGTTTAGTATGGGCAATAAAAAATGTTCACTTTGCATCCACATTCCAACAAGCATATTTACAAGCAGTTGGCATGTTTCTCTAGTATTCAAAAATTTGGATTTCCTTTCATCTTTTTCCCACATTTCTAGCAAATGAAGCTTAACATTTTGTAATCAACAGTGATTGTAAAATAAAGGCGAATCAAAAGAAAATACGTAACCTTTTGTTTGGTTGCTGAGAAAATGGATAAAAACATATTTGTGTATATAAATTTGGAAGCGTGAGACAGAGATTGAAGCTAACCTTTGTGAGTGCCAACAAGAACAAGCCGAGACGATTGTGCTGAGAAACTGATGAAAAGGGGAACGGCACCGAAATTTGAGCGGGAGGCGCGTAGATCTGTAAAAGGATGCAGACTGAAACTTTGTGTGGTGTTATGGCAAAAGCACCCGGCGGCTTCAAAATTCCCGCCATTGAATCACTGATCTTCTCCTTTCCTCAGTAGCTGCGCTGCAAGTTGCTACTATATATATATATAATTGCAGAAAAACATTTTTGTGTAGAGCAAGACAACCTTTAAAATGGTCACGTGAGCACCATGTGCAATAGCTTTTATATTTAAAGACAAAAGTGCCCCTTCTCATGTATCTCATTCCCACTCTCACCCATCTTAATCCAGAATACGGGACCCATGTATTTATTATTTATGAGCTTGGATCCTCGGGCCACTCCACAGAAAATGCCCTCATATGGCAAGAATTAAGAATTTGACAAGAATTTACTCAATAGCACTCAAAACATGCATTTGGATGAAAAATATAGCACATGGAACACATTCATCTCATTTAAGGACATTTTGGACAATTTCTGAAAAATTCTAACACTTAGCTTAAAAAATGAAATATTTAGAGAATTTGGAGTTATTGCTTTCACATGCATTGTAGACGAGAGTTCTCACAAGAATCATGCATTGAAATAAACAACAAATGAAGGAATCTAAATTCAACTTCACATTTCACAATTTAAAGATCAAATCTCCATTTCAAGTTTTGAAAACCATCAAACTTATACAAGAATGAAACTTCCAACTTTTCAGAAATTATTCACCTAAAATGCTCCATAAACATGAGCATATATCAAATTAAGATCACAACATCTCAAAAAGTTCCACTTTAGAATACTTGCATGCTTATTGACATTGACACTTCATTTTCAAGCTTAGAAACACAAGTTTTCAACTTCAAGTTACAACTCATGCATTGAACAATCCATAACAATCATCTATGCCAATTCAAAATTTGAAGCCTTAGACAATGGATAAGAACTTGGTGAACATGTTCACAAATTTGACAGTTTAAGAGTGAACATCAAAACAATTTCAACTTATAACTCAACACCAAAACAATTTCCAAAACAAAACAATATCCAATGATTTATAACTCAATATCAAATATTCATCATGTATTTCAACTTCGTTTAACAACACAACTTCCATTTCAATTTCAATCATCACAATTCCAAATTCGAATTTTTAGAAATTGTATTTCACAAAGATCCCATCAATGTCAAAAATGAAGTGAAGATCAAGAAACTCTAAAAGAAACACATAGGCATGCTTGGAATTGGAAAGTTTACAAGGGTATCAATTTCAAGACCCGAAAGCCTAGATGTCATCTACAATTTTCAACATTGGATTCAACATAGTTTTCCACAATTCTCATATCTCAATTCCATGCAACACTCACAAAACAATTCCTAAAATTTAATTAGAAAATGGGAACTAAACCTCACGAGCATGTGTATCTTCACATATTCACAACCTTTTCAAGTTTTTCAAAAATTCAACTCATTTCAACTCAACTCAATTTTGAAGTTCAAAGAACATTCATACATCAAGACATAGGCTCACAGAATTTTTCGAAAGAATTTCCAACCTTTTTTTTTTTTTTTTTGTCAAAATCACAACCCTTCTGAGAATTTTCAGAAATTAATCTATATTTTCAAGTCACACACTTGTTTTAAAATTCTCTTTCCATAGCCCCTCCAATTTTTTCAATCATTTATGGTCAAAATCCAAACAAAAAGTCAACACAAACTCCACATAGTCACAACCCTTTACACTTGCAAGTCACAGGTCATATAGAGTTCACATTTACAGATATCAAAACAATTTCAAAGCTTCTAGATACAATCACAGATATATGTATATTTTTGCCAAAATTCCCAAAAAAATTTCAGTCCCTTACACAAAAATTCAACACACATGGGATTGAAAACACATTCACAGCTCTAACAAGTTGCACAATCAAAGAGAAATATATGCATAATCAAAATCATCTCACAGTTCAATTATAGTCCAGAATTTTTACAGTAACTCAAGTCAATTCATCATCAACCTCAATCTCAAAAAAAATTCAATCTCAATTCACCCTTCACAGAATTTTTTTTTAAACCATCCTCCATTACAGCCCCTACTCCATTACAGCCCCTACTCCATTAGAACCCATCCTCCATTCTCAACATTACAAATTAAACATTCACAATTTTCATTCTCACAAAACAGATTATATATAGAACAATCAAGATTTTTATTTCAAAATTTCCAACTAAATTTTCAACAATCCATTTTCAATTTTCAATTTTCAGTTTTCAACAACAATATATGTATATATGGAGGCATAAAGAGAGGAGGGAGTTCTTACCCGAGAGATGAGAGAAGAGGAGCGAAGGAGGGATGAGACCCGGGAGAGGATTTCGGCCAACAAGTGGCCGGAGAAGACGGCTTGAAGGTTGCAGAGGTGGCCGGCGGCGAGAGGACAACCGCGTTCTCCTTGGCCGAGAATCGGCCGGAGAAGGCGAAGCCGAGAGAAGAAGAGAGAGATCGAGAGCAAAGGGCCGAGATTTGGCCTGAGATATCGCCGGAAAAGCGCGCGTCAGAGGAGGCTCGCCGGAGAGAGGGGGGGCTTCGGTGATGGTGCAGTGATGCGGTAGTGCGGCCTCGGTGGGAAACAGAGAGATAGAGAGGCGAGAGAGAGATATATGGAGGCTATGGTTTCAGGTGAGGGAGATGGAGGTGGAACGAGAGCGAGAGTGAGAGTGAGAGTGAGAGAGAGAGAGAAAAAAAAAAAAAAAAAGGAAAGAAAAGAGAGGGAAGGGAAAGAGGGAAGAATAAGAAGAAAATAGGGTTTTAGAAAGGTTTAGGTAGCTGAAGAGTTGGACTTCAAACGGCCGAGGGAAAGTGGGCCTAAGAATTTAAATGGTTAAGTCTCGTAATCGATCGGCCGAGGGAAAGTGGGCCTAAGAATTTAAATGGATCGTTACTCATGTCGTACCTGAGCATGGCTTGGAATTTGGTGCAGTCACGATCGATCGCTAAGAGTTGTGATCGGTACTAAGAATTTACGAACGATTGAGAAGAGGAATGGTTTCAGGTACGATTGATCGCATAGGGGTACGATCGATCGCACAGGGTTGCGATCGATCATGATGAATCACCAACGGAGATACCTATAGCATGTTTTCGGGCAAAATGAAGCTCTGCAGATCATGATCGATCGTGATAAATTACAATCAATCGTAATTCAAGCTATCAGGGCAGAAAATGCTAAAAATGCCTGAAAACTGAAATGAAGCACTTTGGAACCTATCTAGACAACGCAAGAAGGTAAACAAAAGAAGAAATGGGGAAGGAATAAAGTTTGAAAACTCTATAAAGCTAGTGTTTAATGTCTCTAGCAAGACGTTGGCCTACTTCCTAGCCCGGATAAAAAACTTTAACAACCGATGTCCTCAACATGGGGTGGAAATGCCCTTAAATCCCACCCAACAAACTATTCCTTAGGGGACTTGTTGGATTTGAAACAATGAAGTTTGGTGGATTTCCATCAAGCCCCAAAGGAGGACACTTAGGCTTCTTTGCATTGTTAAGCTTCAATTTTAAAGTAGAATCATTGGAATGAGAAACACTTGACTTTGATGAATCAATAATGGGTGGGGTTTCAACCACTTTCTCAACAACATTATCTTGTTCATGCTTGTCCATGGAGTTTGGGGTAGGATTAAAGATGTTCAATTCGACTTTCATGTGCCCAAAAGAGAGTTTCATAACCTCGGACCTACAATTGATTGTTGCATTGGCAGTGGCCAACCAAGGATAACGGGGACGTGACTCTTAGGGTTAGGTGCCGGTTCCGTGTCAATGACTACGAAATCGACCAAAAAGTAGAACTTATCAACCTTGATTAGAACGTCCTCAATAACCCCACGCGGTTTCTTGATAGACCAGTCGGCAAGTTGCAAAACAACCGACGTGGGTTTCAATTCTCCCAAACCTAAATGAAGATACACCGAGTAAGGGAGAAGATTAACTCTCGCTTCTAGGTCCAAGAGAGCCCTATTGATTTCAAAATCACCAATGGTGCATGAAGTAGTCGGAGACCCGGGGTCTTTGAACTTTGGAAGTTTGTTATGTTGAAGAATGGAGCTCACTTGCTTGGTGAGTAAGACTTTTTTAGGTGTTTGGCTTTTGGACTTCCTTTTTTGGGTGCACAAGTCCTTCAAGAACTTGGCATAGGCAGGAATTTGACAAATTGCATCAAGAAGAGGAAGATTAACTTTCACTTGCCGAAATACTTCCATCATTTCATAAATTTTGCCCTCTTGTTTCCCAAAAGGTGAAGAATTTTTCAAAGCTTATGGAAACGGAGCCTTTGGCTCACAGGGCTTCTCCGAATTAGTAGGTGATGATGATGGTGATGGTTGATCCTTAATGTGATCATTTGAGTCTAGTGAAGTAGAAATATGATTTGGAATAGGATGGGGGCAACCACTTGGTTGCACCAGTTCATTAACTTCACTAGGTACTTCCACTTTGTTGTCAACTTCTCTCCCACTTCTTAAAGTGGTGATGGCATTCACTTGTTCATGTGGAGGAAATCCTGATGTGGGAGTTGTTTCCACCATGTATTAAGGTTTAGGCTCGGGGTGAATAGGCAATTTACCTTTCTCTTTTGCATTCAAAGAATTAGCTATTTACCCAATTTGGGTTTCTAGCTTCGATATTGATTTAGAGTGGGAATGAAGCAATTGAGTATTGACCTCTAAACTACCCAAAGCCGCCAAAACTTTGTCCTCAAAAGCGGAGTTCCTAGGAGGAGCTTGAAAGTAAGATTGAGAGTTGGATGCTTGAGGATTGAAAGGTTGGTTCACATTGAAATAAGGGTAGGAAAGACAGTATCCTTGAGGATTTGCATTTTGAAGGTGATGGGGCACATACTTTCCTTGGGGACTTAGACCTTGAGGAGGGTTTGCACCGGCTCCTTGATTCCTCCAAGAAAAGTTAGGATGTTCCCTCTATCCCGGATTATAAGTGTTAGAATAGGGGTTGTTCCCCGGACGAACAAATGTGGCATTCACTTGCTCACTTTGAAAAACATGTCCAATGGGAAAATTAGAAATAGTGTGAGTCAAGTTAGAGCATGTCATGCACATTTCTTGATGAGAATGAGGAGAGGAAGATGCTTGATTTGCAGAGTTTTAATTCAATAAGAATTGATCAAACCTTTGCGTTAGAGTTTTAACCTCAGCGGCAATTTCATTTGAACTCTCTACTTGGCACAAGTTCGAGTTCTTCTTCCCTCCAACATTGGAATTTCGGGCTAACCGAGAGGATAGCGACCTATGCATTGAATTCTTACTCATTTTTTTCAAATAGGCACCAAATGTCATCCTCATGCTTTTTAAAATAAGTGCCTCCACATGAAACATCCACCATACCTTTTGGGTATCGGATAAGCTCTCATAGAAGCATTGAACTAGTTGCCACTTGGGAAGGTCATGATGCGGACACTTTCATAGCAAGTCGTTTGATAAGTACTCAAATGTGATACATTTTAGCACCTAAGCTAGGGTATTTTAGTCCATTCATCTATCTTACTTTCCCATTTTAGTTCTAATTTGTGTTTTTGTCTATTTCAGGTTAATAAGGTTCAAATAGGCTAAAAATAGCCTATTAGTTCTTTTTTGGAGTTAAGAAGAAAATTCAGAAAAAGTCAAAAAGACTGTACTGGTCAACCTTCGATCGATCGAAGGAGTTCTCGATCGATCGAAATGAAGGCGGTGCCAGCTCAATGGATAAGGTCATCAGTTGTCAAAATATCTTTGCTACGCCATCTTCGATCGATCGATCGAAACTAGCTTCAATCCATCGAAGCCAGTTTTGATCGATCGAAACTACTGCTGGCAGTGAGCTGTTTAATTCCCGATCGCACCCGAACTCCACCAACTTTTGTAGCTGCGAGATTGCACCAATCAAAGGCCTATTTTCTGACTTGTTGCCTACTCAAAGAGGCTTGTATTTAAATAAAATTGAACCAATCGTATAGGGTTCCACCACTAGTTGTTCCAAGTTTTGAATATGGCTTTTAGATAATTTTCTCTTTCTAGATTAGGGTTTTTAGAGACCAAAGCAAGAGGAAGAAGATGATGCCTACATTGAAGAAAGCCCTTAAGGGTTGGATGACAACAACCATGAGTGGCTAATCCTTCTTTTGGGTCTAGAAATAGCCCCTAGGCTTACCTCCTAAACTTTAGTACTTTGTAATTTTTGGGGATTTTAGTTGTAATTGATGTTTTGATCTATGATTATATAGATCTTGTGTTTTTACATGATTTGTATGGATTGATTCTTCTAATTGATCTTTTATTTCTATACATATGTCTATGTATGCTAGAATAAATGGTCATATGCTTACACTAGATTTTATGAGTTTAATGCATGTCTATGTGTGTTGTAATTGTAAATTTAGTGATGATCAAGGCATGGTGCTTAATTGACTACTCTTGTGTTTTGTTTGATGAATTATGTTTATTTCTTGATGGATTGTGCTACCTCCTTAGTTTAATTTGTTTAATTTCCTTGTCATTAGTATACTTGTAGTGTAGTTATGTAATGATCCGGTCATTTTCCTTCCTTTCTTTTTTCTCAGATTTTCATGGATATTTTTTTTTCGTTGATCTTTTCTTTTCTGAGTTCGGTTTCTTGTCACTTAATGTCGTTTCGAGTGCTCTGGAATGATTTCCGAGACTCTTTCCTTTGGATTGACAACTTCCTTTGAGGACTGCCTCATTTCTACATTTTCATTTTTTCGATACTATTTACTTTTCGACCTTTTCCCTATTTAGTCTTTTCCCGATTTGTCACTTTGTTAGCATAACCTCACTTTTGTATTCAGAGTTGGTTTTTGACTTCACATATCTTCATTATAAGTGGTTTCCACGAAATACATATCTTTACTTTTGTAGAAAAGTACTCTGATTGCTCCCAATGTCCATAGGGGCATGGATGAATAGTTCTTCAGAAACTTTTTCTTTTCTTGGGGTATTTTTCGTAAATATCTTTTAAAGATATTTTATTTCATGGGTTTCTAAGAAAATATTTTTGGAAGATATTTTCATTCTGGGTCATTAGTGCAGCTATCACTTTTTGGAGGGACCATTGTGCAATTAATGAAAGTTATTGCAAAATGCCTTGTTTTGAGCTTGGATCCTCGTACAGGATTCATTTTCACTTTTCGTTGAGTCGTGTACTCATAGAATTCCCTTCTGGTCATTTTTTCCCAGTTTCAGGGTTTCTGGCCCCAGTTACCGCCGAACTTGTTTGGGGCATATCTCTCTGCTCGGGACTCGATTTTTTACGCCGTTTCTTCCGTTGTTCATCTTTTCTCATTTCGGTTCTTTTACATCAAAGAAGTTTTGCCGTTTGAGCACATCTACACGAATTCCACTTTTCCGGACCCGGCGGGGCCCGTTTGGGGCACTTTTTGAGATTTTCTATAAATAGGGGGTCTTAGAAAGCAAAATCAGATTTTTTCTCTCTTTCTTTCCTCTCTCTTGGCCAGATTCCATGGCAGCCATGGCTGCCACCTTCTCTCTCCTCTTTTGAGCTTCTTCTCCTTAGTGAAACGCCGTAGTGCCTTAGTGTTTTATGTTTGCCTTGGCGAGGCCTTCGATTCCACCAATTGTAATATTGTTTTGGCCATTTCTTGAGTTCGTGTTTGAAATCAAGTTGTGATTTTGATGGGGCTTCCTTGGGGTTGATGCGACCCGAGCGTGTGCATAAAATAATGCACAACACT